TGAGTATGTTCATGATTCCCTTATATCATAAGTGACATTATGTGAGTATGTTCATGATTCCCTTATATCATAAGTGACATTATGTGAGTATGTTCATGATTCCTTTATATCATAAGTAACATTAAGTGAGTATGTTCATGATTCCCTTATATCATAAGTGATATTATGTGAGTATGTTCATGATTTCCTTATATCATAAGTGACAGTATGCAAGTATGTTAATATCCACCATCTGTCCAAAAATTACCTAATTATCATGCAAATTAGGCAATTAGTATGTATGGATTTAACCTAAGACCTAATCAAATCTACGCATTAGCCAAGAGCATCCATGCATTGAGTTTCATCAAAAAACAACACATGATTCTTGATATTAGTAGAACAGACGGACAGACACATACACTTGTATTGCTACCTGTTTTGTTTCTAGGATTAACTGGATTAACTTTTATTATACTGGTAGTTGCGTTATGTTTGGATTAAAACACGTCTTTATACGTGTATAGGGTTGTGATTTAATTGAAGTTTAATTAAATAAGAATGTGACTTGATAAGAAATGTTCGTTAAGCTTAGGATTAGCATGTCGTTGGAAGTTGGTATATATCTGTATTTTTGTCCATGCAACATCAGTAATGCAAGTACACAAATTAAGACAGACAGACTAACTGCGTACTAACTGTGTACTTCGAACATGCAAGTCAAAAATAGAAGGCAAGTGAATTTGAATAAATTACTAATACTAAGCAATAGAATCAAATGATAAACACTACAGTCATACTGTAAATATATTTAACTGAAGAGGAAGGAATCTATTTCAGTGAAACATTGGAAATCCAAACATCAAAGATTATTTGTGCACAAAAATAAATACAAAAATATTTTCTAATTCATCTAACTTTTGGCATGCCAGTTTCTGTTTGACCGGGCCTAGTGGATGCCAGTTTGTGTTTGACCGGGCCTAATGGATGCCAGTTTGTGTTTGACCGGGTCTAGTGGACGCCAGTTTGTGTTTGACCAGGCCTAATGGATGCCAGTTTGTGTTTGACCGGGCCTAGTGGATGCCAGTTTGTGTTTGGCTGGGCCTAAAGGATGCCATTTTGTGTTTGACCAGGCCTAATGGATGCCAGTTTGTGTTTGACCGGGCCTAGTGGACGACAGTTTGTGTTTGACCGGGCCTAGTGGATGCCAGTTTGTGTTTGACCGGGCCTAATGGATGCCAGTTTGTGTTTGA